TGGTAGCTGATTAGATGAGAGTGGAGGAAAGGAGGAATTTAGGATGACTGAGATTTTTGCCATGGTGACTGGGTACCTGCTGCCACTTAACAGCATGTGAAAATCCAAGAAAGGTGATGTGAGATGGAGTTGGGATGAGAAAGAAATAAAGGAGGCAGAGTGAGGAGATACAGGATAATTTTGGATACATGGGGATTTGAGATGCCTGTGAAGCAAATATGCAGATATCTGAGGGGTAGTTGAGTATATCTTCTGGAGCAGTACTGTCCAGTAGATTTTCTCCAGTGATGGCAATGTTTGATATCTGTCTATCTACTGTGGTAGCTACTAACCCATGAGTGCTTGAAATGTGACTGAAGAACTGAATTTTAAATATTAGTTAATTTAAATTTAAATGGCCATATGTATAAACAGCTCTGAAGTGTTTGAAGAAGGATAGGTTTGGGAAATATTGGGAGCTTAATAACATAGGGATGGATTAGATTCTCTTAGAAGGGTAATTAGTATTAGGATGTAACAGACTCGTTATGTTAAGTGAGAATTGAATAGTCCATTGGTCTTTACAATTGGTGTAGCCAGTGACAGAGTAGAAGGCTAATTTGTATATGTTCAAGGTCAGGAAGTCAACAGGAAAACAGATACTACAATAAATAGAGGTAGTTTTGTAAATTTTTTATGTAGTAGATTCATTCATCCAGTAATTACTAATTAAGGGTGTGTGTGCCAGGTATTCCACATGCTAAATATAGTGGTAAATAAGACAAGAGTCCTTGCCTTCATGAAACTTAGATAAAGGGCATAAACATAGCTGTATGTTTCTTCTTTTTTTTTTTTAGCAGCTTTATTGAAATATAATGCACATACCATGCAGTTCACTCCTTTAAAGGGTACAATTCAGTGATTTTTTTTTAGCGTATTCAAAGAATTCTGCTACCTTCACCATAATTCATTTTAGAACATTTCATCACCCCCGAAAGAAACCGTATACCTTTTACCAGTTACTATTTCTCCCTAACTAGTCATCCTCTTTCTGTAATAGACAACCACTAATCTACTTTCTGTTTATATGGAGATTTGCCTGTTCTGTAGAGTTTATATGAATGGAATCATTACAATGTGTAACTTTATATGTCTGGCTCCTTTCACTTAACATGCTTTCAAGGTTCTTCCATCTTTCAGTATGTAACAGAACTTTATTCCTTTTTATGGGTGAATAGTACCGTATTCCATTACGTGAATACTACATTTATTTCTTTTTCAGATTATGGACATTTGGGTTTGTTTTTGGTTATTATGAATCATGTGGCTATGTGTACATGTACAAGTTTATGTGAACATACGGTTTTGTTGCTCTTGGGTAGATCTCCAACAGAATTGCTGCGTGATGCAGTAATTATGTTTAATATTTTGACAACTTACCAGACTTATCCCAAACAGCTGCATCATTTTACATTTCCAGTAGCAGTAAGGGTTGTAGTTTCTGTCCATCCTTGCCAACATTTGCTATGATCTTTAATTATTATGTCCATTCTGGTTGATGTGAAATGATATTTCATTGTGGTGTTGATTTCCATTTTCCTAATGAATTCATGATGTTGAGCATCTTTTCATGTGCTTCGTCGCTTTTTCTATATTTTATTTGGAGAAATAATGTATCCAGATTCTTTGTCCATTTTAAAATTGGATTACCTCTTTATTATTGTGTTGTAACAGTACTTTATTTAAAGTCCTTTATCAGTACAGAATTCACAGATGTTATCTTCTGTGGATTATCTTTTTACTTTCTTGGTGGTTTTCTTTGAAACACAAGTTTTAGCTTTTCCTGTAGTCAAATTTATGTTTTCTTTGGTTGAGGGCCAGGGATTTAGCTCAGTGGTTCTGCCGTCTGCTCCGCAAGCGCAAGGACCCAAGTTCGATCCCTGGTACCAAAAAGAAAAGAATCATTTGCATGTTTTCTTTGGTTGCTTGTGCTTTAGGTGTCATATTTAAGAAACTATTGGCTAATCCAGGTTCATGAAAATGTACTCATTTCACTTTTGAGTTAATTTTTCTGTGTGGTGTAAGGAAAAGGTCAAATTTCATTCTTTAACATTATAGACAGTTGTTCCAGCATCATTTTTTAGGAATATGTGAATTTTCTTGATATTCTTATCTAAAATCAATTGATGAAAAATGTAAGGGTTATTTTTAGAATCTTTTTTTTTTTTTGGTACTGGGGATCGAACTCGGGAACTTGCGCTTGCTAGGCAGGCGGTGGAACCACTGAGCTAAATCCCCAGACCCTTTTTTTCTTTTTTGAGAGACAGGGTTTCACTGTGCAGTAGTTCAAACTGGCCTTGAACTCACTATATAGCTCAAGCTGGCCTTGAGCTCAGCTGAGATCCTCTTGCCTCAGCCCCCCTCCCTCCGAGATTAGAGGCATGCACTACCAGAACCTATTTTTAGAATCTTAAATCTATTCCATTCATCTGCATGTTTCTCCTTATATTGGTATCACACTATCTTGATTACTGTAGTTTTGCAGTAGGTTTTGAAATTTGGAATTAAGTTCTTCAACTTTGTTCTTCTTTCCCTGGATTGTTTTGATTGTTTGGGGTCCCATCCATTTCTGCCTGAACTGTAAGATAAGTTTGCCATTTTCTGCAAAAGGAATTTCATTGAGTTATAGTTTGGCTTGATTAGTATTGTGATATTAGCACTTAAGATTTCCAGTCCCTGGATGGGATATCTTTTCACTTGTTTAGGTCATCTTTTAATTATTTTGACAGTGTTTTATAATAGCTTTTTAGTAGCTATTTGCTTTTTACCTTAACATTTAGTGATTACTTTCACATCATGGCAAAAACTCATGAGTGATCAGGAGAGATTATTTTCTGGAGTACACCAATCTGCTTGTTTTTGGTAATGTTAAAGTAACTCTTGATTTCATTATTCGTTCCTTTCTGTTTTGCCATCAGTATGCAGTTGATTCCCTGAGTCTGCTTAATGTGTTGCACTCTACTTTTCCAAGGCAGCACCTTTCTTTCTGTATGTGTGATGTACTATAGAAACATACTTTCTCTGCTAGAGTTTCACAGTTATATGGTAGTTCCTCTTGAAAACTTTTTGTTAGTCATACAGTTAAGAAAGCTGTTTAACCCCACAGTTTTTAGCATTGTTGTATACTTTTATAAGCTCACGTATTATAAATTTTAGCATAACTAATTTTAGGGAAAATTTCTGTAGTGTAAAGAAATTTTAGAAGGAAGTTCAGACTTGGTTATCCAAGTAAATAGCTTCTTAATCCTTCCTTCTGTGTACTTTCTTCCATTTGCCCTGGAGTAGGCCCTAAAGGAAAAAAACACCTCAAATATTATTTTTTACGTTACCTCATTAGCCTAATTTCGTATTTTGACTGGATAATTTTTTCCTTAGGTAAACATGTTTATTACTGATAACTGTATTATCAGTATGAATTTTTGTAGGTGCTAAGTGAGATAATTGACTTTAGTAATCAAAACATCATGTAATAATTACAGAGCAATCACTCAACAGCATACAGTGTATTCCTCTTGTCCTTACACTTTTGCTTTCCTGCATGCCTTTCTTAAAATGTCATTTTCTTTGCCAACTCATGTCAGTCTTAAGCTTCAGGACAACGTTAATACTTCTAATCAGGTTTTTCATTTGTTCAAAAAATAGGTTTTCTTCTAGAAGACTTTGTTAACTCCACCATTTGGAGCCTTTAATATTGTGGGATCCCCTTTAGTTTTCTTCTGTTGAACCTTAACTGCTTTGTTCAAGTTTCCCAGAGATGCAATACAGAACACTCTGGTCAACCACATATTCTAAATTCTTAACAAAACTTTGTCATGAATCTTTTTTACTGATAGTTGAATAATTTAGAAGGAAACCTTTAGTACCTATTTATTTTTCTACCTCAAAGCTTGCAGCAGGGGTTCTCTTTCTTTTTAACCACTAAGAATTTCTTTTGTTTCTTTTTCTTCCTTAGACTATATCTTTTGAAAGATTGTCTACTAACAACCAAAACTTACTAAATAATTTATCATTTAAAAAATTTATCGTCCATAATTGGGTTTCTATAGCGTTTGTGTTCTTTGAGCACAGTTTGAAAATCACTGATGAGTTGAAAAGAGCAAGGACTTTGAAGGTGGCCAAACCTAGATTAAGATCCCAGCTTTGCCAATTAGTAATGGTGAAGGCTGGACAAGTTGTCTATTGGTACTTAAACTTTGCTCATCTTTAAAAATAGGGATAGGGCCTGGGATGTAACTCAGTGGCACTGAGCCTGCCTGGCAAGCGCAAGGTCCTGAGTTCAATCCCCAGTACTAAAAAAAAGAAGAACAACAAAAAAAGGATAATCCTCTCAAATTTGAAGAGTTTTTAGAAAAATTAATGAATGTGGGTGTTCCCAGTGTAGAATAATTCTAGGTGCATTATTTTCCATATGGTAAGTGTTATCTATATTCTTTCAGTCCATTTTAATATCTCTCAGCAGTTTGCTAATTACAGGGCCCCAGAGTAAATTTTAAAACTCTGTAGGTGGCAGTTTTTGTTTGGATAGCTTCATTATAAGTTGTATCAGGTGATTTATGAAGTAATACAGATAGAAGAATGTACAGAAACAGGTGTATGACTGTTTCAGCTTGCCTTGTATACAAGTACATTTTATACTTTATTTTCACTTTTCTCTTGTAGAAAGGCTAATCTTATTTCACTTGCTAGCCTTATTGCACATTGCAAGCTTGCAGATTTCAGTGGTAGAATATTGATGAATCCAGTGTTTGATGTAAAGGAGTGTGAAACTTAAGTATATAGGATGCTGTTGTAAGAATTCAAATAATTGAAGTTTCATTTATTTTAAAGTATGTGCTCGCTTTGGCACCACATACACTAAAATATTCTAAAGTAAAACAGGAATCCGGAAAAAAAGAAAGTGTAAAATACTAAATTTTTGAAATAAAACTGGTGTACATATTTTTTTTGTTGTTGCCTTGCAGTCCACAAGAATTGGAATGTCAGTTAATGCTATTCGCAAGCAGAGTACAGATGAAGAAGTTACATCTTTAGCAAAGTCTCTCATCAAATCCTGGAAGAAGTTATTAGGTATAATTGAACTTCCTTTACATGTACTTATGACATTCTGGTTTGTTTGAGTGATGGTTTTATTTTTTTCCTCTATGGCTATACTGAAATCAGTGCCTTCTAATAAAGGTGAAGGAAAGCCAGGTATGGTGGTGCATGCTTGTAATCCTAGCACTTGCGAGGCTGAGGCAGGAGGATCACCACAAGTTTGAGGCCAGCCTGGGCTATACATAGTGAGTTCAAGGCCAGTCTAAACTGTATCGGGAGACCCTGTCTCAAAAAACCAAAATAGAAATGAAGAAAAGCGGGGAGTGGATAGATAGGTTAAGTTAAGGGATTAGTTTAACACATTCCTGCTGGCAGGTCCATGGCTCAGTCCCATGGGGTGGGTGCTCTTGGGACAGTCATACACGTTTGGCCACAACATGAACATGTTAATCTCCTCAAAACCTGCTTTTCAGGGCTGGGGATTTAGCTCAGTGATTCCGGTGCCTGCCTCGCAAGCTCAAGGTCCCGAGTTCAATCCCTGGTACAAAAAAAAAAGTTGCTTTTCAGACTAGTAAATTAATGGTTTCTGACACAACAGGATAAGCTCTTTAAGAATTTTTTTTTTTTGCAAGGGAAAAATTATACGTACTTTTTGAAGTGGTTTTTGAAATAACTCTTCACTTTTTAAAAAGTTAGTACACATTCATTTTGGCAGATTCATATATGCACAAAATATGTAGTACTTTAACCATTCCCCCCATAACTCTCCAGGTCCCACCCTCACCCCTGGGTTCACTTTTTGGGCAGAGGTTATAATGTGAAATAATTTTTTTTTTAACTTACAGAAAACTTGCAAAAGTAATAAAAAGAACTCATATTTGCTTTATTGAAATCTTTTAAAATATTTACTTTATTTAAGGTAAGAAAGTTTCTGCTTTTATTGAAAATTTATATGTGACTCATTGTAATAAGCAATGGTTGTCACAAAAAAATAGTGGTGCTATGCTAGAGAAGAAAATATTAATCTGGGCATTTACTCATGTACCATATTTATTTTTTTCATCATCTCTTTGTTATTTTTATTCTGACCATTTGAGAGTGAGTTTAATATATTGTATTTTGCTGGGGATTTAGCTCAGTTATTCTGCTACCTGGCTCACAAGTGCAAGGTCCTGAGTTCGATCCCTGGTACCAAAAAAATTGTTTTTTAAATTCTGTAATGCTTAATTGTGTATTTTCTTTGGAAAAGCTGTTTTTATTAATGCAACCATAGTGTAGGAAATTTAACATTTGTGCAATTATTTAATCTACATTCCATGTTCTCATTTGTCATTTGTCCCATTAATGTCCTTTATAGATTACTTTTTCCTCCTCCAGGATAAGATTCAGTCCAGAATCACATATTTAGTTTCCTAATCTGGAATTCTTAAACCTCACTCCCCCCACCTTTTTTTTAACCTTTTATGGCATTGACATTTGAAGTATATAGACATCCTTTTTTCCCTCTTTTTTTTTTTGGTACCAGAGATTGAAACTTGGACCTTGTGCTTGCAAGGCAAGTGGCAGAACCACTGAGCCAAATCTCCATCCCTTTTCCCCTTATTTTTAATAATATGTACCTTCTTTGGGCTTTGTCTGCTGCTCTTTCCTGATTAGATGAGGTTGTACATCCACATTTAGACTTCTACTGAAGTGTGTTATATTCTTTTCAAGGTATAAAACCCAGTCAAGGTGTACACTATATAGTTTCTTTTTGTAAAAAATAGTATTTTGTGGGAGATGCTTTAAGATTATAAAACCATTTTCCACTTTATTAGCACCTTTCCCCCAATTTCATATCTACTGACTTTTTTTTTAACCAAACTAGTCTTCACAAAAGACAGTTGCAAAATTGTGTTTTCCTTTTCTTTTTTTTTTCTTTTTGTACTGAAGAGTTGAATCCCATGGCTTTCATAGTGAGCTGCATCCCCAGGGACAACCCCCCCCCCCCTTTTAGAGCCTTGCTAAGTTGCCCAGGCTGGACTCCAACTTGTGATCATCCTGCCTCAGCCTCCTGAGTACCTGGGATTACAAATGTGCCACCATGCCTAGCTCACAAAATTGTGATTTTTCTTCCTCTTCCACTTCTGTGTACTTATAAGTCATCATTACGATATAAGAAAGCACTATCCTTTTACCCTCTTTACCCCTGCTTGTTTATTACTGTGGACTTTTAGTTTCCTATTCCATATGATGGGTTGTAATTCATTATGTTTCAGGTTGATTTTATAATTTACCTTGTCCCAGATTTGGCCAGTGGTACCCCTTCAAACTGTTTTCTGGCTGCTTCTTTTTTTTTTTTTTTTTTTAAGGA